GGCAATTCATCTAGGGGAGTTGAGTAAAAACCTGTTCCCAAGCCAACCAAGAAGAGACATACACGCCACACACCTTGGTTGTGGCAGTAGTCACCGAATGAATTAGGCATCAAAGTATATTGGGCATCTTGGACGTTTGACCCCGTCCAAAGAGTGAATGATCGGATGAACTGCACACCGACCCCCCAATGGATTGCGATTTTCACTCACTTCCCCTCTGCCTTGTGGGTCTCGTTTTAGCTTGCCGAAGGCTCTGATTGTGGATTCAGCACAAAATTCACCTGTTTGACAGGAAAAGCGTGATAGTATCCCACTCANTTTTTCTTTGTTAAAAAGATTTTTGGACCGCAATTTGTTTGGCACACGGTTTGAACTCAGACGCGTTTGAAATACGATATATTAATAAGTAAATAACTCCGATAGATTCATTGGAAGATCAAAGATGTAGCGAACAAGCTTGCTTTCAGTGCTTTATATACTGGCCAGTTGCAGCACATTATATAACTCGGAGAAAAACACAGGGCCACAGTCGTGTCAAGTTTTTAGTTCGTGCAAAATGTGAATTGAGGGGTTGGAAGGTAGATGTTCCAACACTGGTCGGGACGAATCACACCATGGATATGCGGAAATCGTTCCGTCTAATCTATTCAATGACAGGGATTCGGTCTGAGGATGTTGAATATATAAATATATTTCACCCACATCTGACGCCAGACTGTGTGCCAAAATAATCATGATACAATAGTCTTGATGAAAAAGAAAAACATTCCATGATTTACGTGCGGGCTGACGACAGTTGAGCATACACAATACTTGTCCTAGCCAGCAAAGTCTACTAATCTGAATTCGGTGTGCTTGCAGGTTTACCCCTGATACTGCCAAACACACGACAGTTTACCTCAAGATTACTAATCCGTTCGCTTCATCCCATGTGCATTTAATTACGCGAACACCGATAATGGAAAACTTCTAGTCGATGGATATCTTTCACTCTCAAATTCAAGCAATGCCATTTTCTCTCGGTTACCGGATCGCATATATTTTCCTGGTAGAAAATCCAAAACTTTGTTTACCACAAACGTCTCAAGATTCTCCGTATTCCCAAAACCCCGGATGAGGGGATATTCCGCTCCAGTTAAAATCCAAAGTAGCCGAGGTGCCCCCAGTGTGTTGTTTTCATTTGGACATTAAGTCTTTCGACTCAATTTAGTTACTTATAACTGTTTTTTAACGAAACTTTCAAAGTGAACAAGACTTCTCGTTCTTCGATTTATTTTTGATTTGTTTCTGTATTGCTTTATTATTTTAAGAATAACTACGTCTTTCCATCGCGTTTATTAATGGGGAAATTCATGCACACATTTATGTATATCCTTCCCATCCCTGATTTTCCTATACATGGGTCGTAAAGCGAAATATCTTGATAGTGTCAAACGATTTAACAGCTGAAAAACGGTGTTGTGAAACTTCTCAGAGGTGTCGATTCGCCACAATCAACTTATGTTTTCATAGCTATATTGGGTAATGCAGAATACAAGTAACTTCATAATAGGGATCTATCACTTAGTTACTCCATCCCTTCAGTTCATAGAGAAAACAATTAGAAATGGTCAGTGATCCGCACACGAGACCCAAACGTGGGTAGTCAACTTTTTGTGAAGGAGACTTTCAAACTGAACTCTGTCCGGTGTAGATGAATCCACATCACGTAACGTTTTGCTCGTAAGCTATAACTTTATGAACCAATCAAAGCGTTTTTCTTCATGCAACTTGTTTGTCCTTTGATTGCCCGAACACGCACGTCATTGATTATCTCAGGTAAATATGCTCAGTTGGAAATATATTACTGCAAACCAAAGGTTGCTGGTTGTATTTTTGATCTCTAATCAACACAATTGTGTGTTTTTTGACACCCATGTGGTGAATATCCAGCGACTGCAAGTCATTTGGCATCGGTGGTGTTTAGGAACGCGAACAGTGATGCGCATGTGTTGTTAATGCAGTATCAGGGTTAAGTAGACAGTGTGGAAGAGTACAATCGATAATCTATATGTCTTGGTACACGCATAAAGAAGTTTATAATGGGTTCGGCTTATCGCGGCGGCTGGTATATTTTCAATAGGGAAGCTGTTTCCATAATAATAATAACATGGCTTCTATGATTAACGACTAACTTTTCCCGCTGTGAATCTATGATTGAGATATAGGCGCATCCCAGATATAAAGGCCAATGCCATTTCCTTTCTTCTCATGAATTTCATCTATGAAACCGGTTGAGTCTCAATGCGGAAGTTATTTGCTTGAAATTAAAGTAAAAAAGTAATGATTCAGTGAGACCAGTGCACGGCCTAAAGGCAGAGATTCGTTATAGTTTATCCATCAAAATCTTAGATTTTATTGACGAGAACTATCAGTTTGAGCATTGCAACGATAAACTCAAGGTGAAATCGGCCGACTATTATTGAATCTAGAACCCTGTTTTTATTATACATCTGTGTGATGAACAGCAGACGGGACAAGCCCCATAGTCACGAGAACCTGCTGTTCAGTCATAGAAACTGGTAACATAAGCCACGCGGGACTTGGAATGGCGAACCGCTCGTCTGGCTAGGCGTGCTATCGATCCAAACGACAGCATCGTTGGGTGTCGGTGACGGGGCTCGGACCAAAGCACGCCGGTGATAGCGACCAAACCACTGCTCAATCAACACCACCACTGTTAACACCTTAATCCAATCTCGTCTGCACGATCAGGCTTCTCTCGCTGTCCCGAGAAATTTCCTATAGGCGTAGCACTAAAACTGTCTACCACTTTGAGGTTTCTTAGTTATCCCTCCAATCATTAATTTGTTCCTCGCTCGTGCCCTTTGGATGATGGTGGTCCTCATCGTAGGTCTTGCATAAAATACCCCGCTAACGTCGTCTAACTTTTCTTTTCTTTCTATCTCATTGCAACCGGTTGATGAACCGGTCCCTCCTATCAGATTATATTGAATGTGAATCTTTGTGTTCCACTAGGAGAGTAGAAGAAATTGGAATTAAACTGGGTGCCAAGCGATCCTCTCTCTCTCTCTCATATATGTATATGTATAATAAAGGAAAATGCGCTGTGGAACATGCACGAAAAGTGTGAACACTTTTAACGTGGAATCCATT